CTTAAGCCTTATGCCGTTTGAGGTGACTTCGTCGGTGTGGGCCACCGCAAAGTATGTCGTGCCCTAAAGTCTTAGGCATCCATTTGGAAGAACCTCTTCCTGATCTATCTAGGTCTTCCTCTCAATCCCGAATAATCCCAGACGTCTCCTGTTCACACCACCCAACGAATATCACTCAGCGTTTTACCAGCAAAGCCAAACAGCCAGAAGTAACTGGATTTTTGAAGCCAAAATTCCCTTTTTACTTGACCGCACTCAATGTCCGCACACTATCAGATTGGTGAACAAGCTGCCTTGGCTAGGACCCTTGAAACTTTCAATTTGTATGTATGCTGCGTCGCCGAAACATCCATTCAAGACACTAATTCAATCATTTCCCTGCGTTCTCTTAACCCAACCTCGACATCATGCTTCACCCTCCGTGTCAGGCGATCCGGTATCCGAAGCTCGTGATGCTGCTGTCGGGATTGCGCTAAGTGCTTGGGCTGAGAGCTCGCTTCTTGACTGGATTCCAGTCAGTAGTCGACTGGGCACTGTACATCTCAACAGATCCGCACGGGTCAACAGCTACAGAACGAAGTGTGGATGCTTATTCGTCGTATCGGTGTATGCACCGACCGATTGCAGTACGCCTGAAATCAAGGATGAATTCTACGAGGACCTTCTCGATCGCCTACTTCAACTCTGTGCCGACCACAGACCGTTCCTGTCAAGCGCATACTTCTTGCACAAGAAACGACACAGCCTTACATGTAAACCGCCAACCTCTTCACAGCGCTGGACCCAAATCGACCACATCGCTATCAGTTACCGCTGGAGCGGATCGATTCAGGACTATCGCTCTTACTGGTCAACACCTGTGGATACGGATCACACTTTGCTGCNACGGGTCAACAGCTACAGAACGAAGTGTGGATGCTTATTCGTCGTATCGGTGTATGCACCGACCGATTGCAGTACACCTGAAATCAGGGATGAATTCTACAAGGATCTTTCTCAATTGCTCCAAAGTGTTAGTCGCTGGAGACTTCAATTCTCAAGTGGGATCCCTGGATGGATCAGAAAGGCTTCTTGGCGGACCGCATGCAATCCCAGGAAACCGGACGGACAATGGAGATCGCCTACTTCAAATCTGAGCGGACCACGGATTGTTTCTGTCCAACACGAACTTCTCGCACAAGAAACGACACCGCCTAACGCGGAGACCGCCAACTTCTTCACTGCGCTGTACCCAAATCGACCACATTGCCATCAGTTACCGTTGGAGGGTCGATTCAAGACTGCCGTTCTTACTGGTCACCACCTGTGGATATGGATCGTGCTTTGTTACGAGCCGAATTCTCCTTACGCCTGACAAACAACCGCAAAAAGCCACCGACAACGGATACCCACGATACTATGTCGACGATTGCTGCAAATCGGCTTTCGAAGCGGAACTCTCCGATCGCCTAATGATGCGCTCCCTCGTGCGTTCACTTTTCCAACTTCGCATTAAAACCACCTACGGGCACAACTATATCGGAGCTTCGGCTCAACCGTATGACCCCGTGAGTTTGTCATAGAACTCATCCTTTCGTGCGTCAGAACTGAAGTTGGTCGGTGCATACGCTGAAATGATGAACAAACACCTTCAAGTGTTGGTTCCATTCCGGACGCTGATTGAACCCCGGAAATGCATCGCACATAAGCGGCGGTTGACGGGGATCCGATCGATAAGAGAGGACTCAGCCCTGTTACTGAGTACAATACCTCGCCACGCTGACCTACTGAACGACGTTCATCATCGCCTGATGTGCGAAGAACGTATCTCGAAGACAAATCTGGCGCTCTAGTGGCTACATTAGAAAGATCCTGAATCCGAGTCTCCAATACGCAGCAAATATCGATCCTTAAGGATTCCATTGTACGCGCCAGACAAGCTTATTGACTTGCGAGCATGCGTGTCCTCACGTTGAAGGCCCTCAGATTCAGTGGCCAACGAGGCTTNATCTGCAATCTATTTTGTGATGAATCACCTACAGACTTTGGTGGTAGGCAGCTTTGCTGTCGTCTGGTTTAATAACACGCCTAATTCAGCAGGGCCTTATGTGGTCCGCCACTCCAAGTCCATGGTATTAGGTTGCCGGTTTCCATGACTGAATAACAGGTCCTCGTGACTGTGGGACTTACCCCGTCTGCTTTTCATCACATTTGGGTGGGTAATAGTGCTATTTGGCAATGACCTTTGGTTAGCAACATCCATGTTACTTAAGGGACTATTACAGATCGGAAGAAAGGGTAAATGGGTACGGCAGACAATTGAACAAAGGTTAGGAAATCTGAGTAATATCCCACTTATCACCACCCAACCCGCTCGATCCTGATTACCCTGCGTGACAACAGATGCAGCTCGGAGTTTGAACGGGTACTGCTAGGGCATTCAACCACTAAGCAGAACGATTAGGGTTCTCAACCAAAGCCTTTAGTTTTGACAAGAACCCAACTGTGAGGCAGCGGGTAAAGCGAAGTGGAAGCCTATTTCCTTGTACCGATTACTCCGTCATTTTTATCGACGGAAACGCAAATCCTAGTCGAACCCACGACTTAGAGAATCAGGAGACTAGAATTTGTATGACCTCTACCCTTCTACCTTCCAAGCACGATTAGATCTTCGGCCTGAAAAAGGCCATCCTGTATGGCTCGTTGGCTCAAAGAGGTGCACCAGCCATCACACCACGTCTAGGTGCAGCCTTGTGGTGAATTTTACGTGATAACAGTCGACAGTAGCACTGGCAGCTATGCCATGCTGAAGCACAGCCATTTGGAGTAAACAAGCAGAAACGGTGGGACCAGCAGATTGTACATCCGAGCCGGGCGGGTTTAGCCGACAGGCACTTCTGTGGCCCAGCTGGTGACAGTAGTGCTCTCACATCGCCCTGCGGATTTACAACACTTGCGGTCCAATGACAGATTGATTTCTCTCACCTATAGCTAAAACACTTCCTTTCCGTAACAACTGTTTTCATTAAAACGAGAAATTCTTTGAGGCCGCATGAATTTGGATAATCCTGATGTCAACACACTGGCGAACGTACCAGGGCTCCTATACACCCGATCGTCCGCTTCATATGGTGATGTGATGTACTGTACAACCTGATCCGGCAGTCATCAGTAAATTGTAGGCAAGAAGCATCCTCCGCCTCTGTACGGAGTGAGGTTCTTCGTGTCGATCTACTCTCAGTCCAGTTCATACAACTACTTTAGTGTGGCAGTAGTCCTTTGGCTAGCCATTTGCATGGAGGAGTTGAAGAATTAGAAATCTGAGAGCCCTATCAGGATAAAGAAACAGAAACTAACGGAGAGAAATTTCCAAACTATAGTAGGCACACGTGGAAGTTTACGATTCAGCCATATCGGTCCCCAACCGGGGAGCCCAACGAGACCGAGATATTCGAGTCACGGTTTCCATACGAACACTGCAGAAGTTAGACCTTCCAGTCACCATCGACCTGCGAAAGCATTGCACATCTGGTGGCATTAGCCAGGTGCCATGCCACCGTGATTTATGAAAAACAAGCGTTTGCGCAATTGCACTGTTGCAATTAGCCCTAACTCTCCGTCCAGCCTAGGCATTGCTTACCTGGTTGATATGAAAAATACGGCGCTCACAGCAGTATTCGAAGACGGATAGTCTGTCTTCTCAAAACGGACAAACCTCATGAGAGAAACTGGAAAATATCTTGAATGATCGAGCTCACAACAAAGAAATCAGTGCGAAAATAAACACCAGCACCTCCATTGCGTACGATTATTTTTATTCGAGAGCTACGTTATCGGACCGCAAAAGTGAGTAATCAGTTGCTATTAAGACGGGATTTACTCCTGCTAATCAGCTCACTAGGCCACATCAACTCAAGTCCCTCAGATAGGTGTAATATCCCTTGAACGAGCAATGGCGCCTGTACTCCAACCCGTCAAACGTATCCGAAGTTCTAGAGAAACAAACCTACGACGTACACCAGACTACGGTCCTGAATGGTGTCACCGATCCCAATGAAAGTCCCATTATTTGCCTGAAAGCTATGAGCAAACAAGCAGTGCAGTACTCTGCGATACTAACGGTGCAGACGCGCGGCCACTTTCGAACTTAAACTCAACGTGGAACTTGTGGTAGTGAATAATAACGACGGTTTTCCGTGCTCGAGCCTTGGGTAGCGGCCAATAATTAGCTGACAATCAACAGCGCGACGCACATGTGAAGCTTAAAATCCAGTTCAGACGACGTAACGATTGCTGGATTTAAGAACAACCAATGATTAGAACTCAGCATCTAAATTATATTTACAACTGCATTTACAAAGTTTAAAAATAATCACTGTACAGGTTGTTTGGCAGCCATGCGAGCCTTGATTTTGTGCATACGATGGTACTTGTCAATATAGAGTTTCACAAAAGCGTTGATTTTTTCAGAATTGATTGAGGAAGTACCCGAACGGGATATCTAAACAAGAAATTGATGAATGAACGCCATCTTACCTTCGTCACGGCCTTCTTCATTATTTCCTTGTAATCATCCTTGGTTATTCGCCGCAATGTGTAGGCAGGTTTCAGAATTGCTTTTACCTCGAGAGCAATGCGTTCTTGCCACTCTCTTCGTGTAGCAAAGTCGTATCGTTTCCGTTTAGCAAGTACATCCTCTAACTTCATGCCATCAAACGGATTTTTATGGGCTGCAGTGGGTTGGGCTTTATCACCATTCGACAATGCTGAGGTTTCGGCTTGATGTGACTGCTCTGTATTACACAAAGTTGGAAGAGGTGGAGGGACAAAAGTTGAGGAAAAACCGTGATCCATAAATACCGAAGTGGACGTCTGTTCATTACTATCGCTTGGTAGGGGCGGTGGAGGAGGAGGTGGAAGTTGATCCGGACTGCGATTGCTGGTCGAGTTGCGTTGATTTCCAGCAAGCTGGTTTAGCAGAGAATTGGCAGCGCTGCTCAAGAGCTTATTGATCTGCTTCATTGGAGAACTATCGGGGACAGTTTTCTCGGTGCTCTCATTGTTCGACTGTTGAGAGCTGGTTAATTCACTCAAAGTATCGCGAGGTAGACCAGCCTTACTCATCAGGGTCTCCAGCAGGTTGGACGGTTGTGGTGCTTGAAGTTGTTGGGCAAACGTAGGTGGGGGCGGGGGAGGAGGTGGAGGCGGTGGGGGCGGAGGTGGAACAACACTGCTAAACAGACCGGACTGGGCCATCAAGGGATAATTTGAAACGGCGGGTAAGTTTCCCAACTGGGGCGCACAGTTGTTTGGGAAGGGAACAGACCCGGGTAGAGGCATAACGGACGGAATCCGAGTCATCATCATTGGAGGTGGCTGTGTGTATCCTGGTGGCATGGTCGGAGTTCCATATTGAAGTCCAGTGGGCGGAAAGCAATTTTGCGGCGGAGCACCGGCAATGCCGAAGTTGTTAGGAGGATACCGAGGAACATTGCCGAAAGCAACAGTAGGTTCTGGGGGAAAAGGATTACGCGGCCCAATATTCCACCTACTGTTTGGTCTAATAGGGGCCATCGGACGAGGTTGAAGAAGCAAATCAACAGCTGCCCCTGGTGGTAGATTCTGAGGACCTTCAGCCTGTGCTGGTGGAGTGAGACTACGTTCCTTTGCTTCGAAATCGGGTTTATTATTTTCGTTTATTGAAGAGCTAGCAACAGGACGCGACGGGTTCCATGGTATAACTAGCGGCTCGTCTTTATTGCGAAGAGCGTCAGATTCCGGACGGGAATCAGAACCAGTACGCTGAGGTTCAGAGCGAGAATGGGTGTCTTGCTTAACATTGAGTAGTCGCGATCTCTGTCTGCTGCTAGAGCGAGAACGTGGACGCGATCGATCACCTGGTCTTGATCTACGATCCGGCGGACTTTTGGAGCGGCGGCGACGTCTTTCTCGCGACCG